GCATTCGTGGTAATAACTGTCGAGGAGTCAGGACGAATGAGTTAGTGAGTGAGTGAGTGAGTGAGTTAGTGAGTTAGTGAGTGTGTGTCTGACGCGAGAAAAACGGGTCAGGATCGTAGAAAACGGTGTTTTATACGCGTTGCGCCTTGCACAACGTAATTTCTCTTTGACCATCGTCCTTATTTGCGCTGGATACTAGTAAAAGAGGTGGGGAAAGGGGGCTAGGCGGGGGGGGGTAGAAGGGAGAAAGGAAAAAGTTACTACACTAGATGAGAGAACAGCACACTTTAACTCTCGGGTCCGTGTAACTTGGTAGATGCAACAACACCGTGCAACCAATGCACGCCAAGATGCAACCCACCACGGTCGTTGCATTGCGTTGCATTGCGGTTTTGTTAAAAAGAAGATGAAGATGATGCTCAACGTAATCCACGTCTTAACGCGCAATCAACTTAAAAACCTCCGTACAATTTTTTTCTATTTTATTTGTATCTATTTGTTTTTTGTATTTATAATTTTTATTTCTATTTCTATTTTCTATTTTCTATTTCCGTTGGTTCGAAGAAGCAACGTGAATGAACAGTTAGACTTATTAAAGATAATAATCGGTACAAACGAATGCACCGATACGATAATCGATTGGAGAAAAAATAGTATTGAAGAATTTACTAAGCCCTACCCTTTCATCCCTTTCTAATATCATTCCCTTTAATCGTCCCTACTTAAACTTACTTCTTTGGGATTAAGTTATGTTTTATTACGAGTTATATTTAATTGTACTTCAAGAAGGTATGTAATTTTATTTGTCTAATTAAAAATAACATTGTGCTGTGTGATTTTGTTATAAAATATTGTTTCAATATAATTATAAACTATTAAATAAATCATTTTCTTATTATTATTATTATTATTATTATTATTATTATTATTATTATTATTATTATTATTATTATTATTGGATCTTCAATAGAATGCAATGCATTGTATGAAATGCATGAAAATGCATGAAAATGCATTCATGGTTTTCACTTTGTCACTTATACCAAATCACCAATCAACAATGTTTCATCTTATACGATAGTAAAACGTAAGAATTTTTGTTGCAAGTAAAAGTGCAACACACCTATGCCATATCATGAATGTTTTATGCGTTTATCTTTAGCGAATCGAAGACCGCGTTCCGCGATGGTGGTCCATTATGGTTATTCCAAGCACGAGAACGTCCTTCCACGAAGTGCGATTTATCGCGCTTGCAAATGAACAACAGATCTCAGGTTTACCTTACGTCTAAACAATAACAATAATAAACAAAACAAAATATAAAAAAAAAAAAAAATCATCATCCAAGATGAAATGGATTCTAAGTATGCCAGGAATTTCATTTCTCTACGCTCACTTTATTCGATTTTTTTTTTTTTTATTGTTATTATTATTTTCTATCCTTCTCTCTATGGTGTAATTTATAACTAGGCCACGGTATTTACTTAGTTTTAATTTAATGATCAACGTTTTATTGTTCTTCGTGAGAAGAGAATTTCAAGTTGTTAGTTTTTCTTCTTTTTTTTTTTTTATTAGAAATACCATTTAATATTACGAAAGAAAAACAATGATAAATTCATTATAATCAAATGTTTCAATTTAAAATAATATATAATATATATATATATATATATGTAAAAAAAAAAGCTTTGCAATATATGTAAGATTACGAATAGTAAAAAAAATATGAAATCATTTGATATCATCTAAAAGTTACAACAGTTTTCCATTTATACGTCAAGTTAATATGTAGGTTGTTGTTATTATTATTATTATTATTATTATTATTATTATTAATTAAAGAAAAAACAACAGGGGTGAAAGTGTTACAATCGTCTAGGAGTTTGAACACATTGTTGCACTTGCAATAACAAATTAATATAATTGTTCGTTTTATTATTTTGACGGTAATAAATATTAAATAAATATTTCATTTGTATATATTACGTTTTATCATATTATACATGATGACATAACCTTAATCTTACTTTTTCATATTTTTTTTTTCCTGTATTATTATTATTATTATTATTGTAATGTATTCCATTATAATTGTAATATTATTTTGAGTGCAACTATAAATTCCTCTCAGGGTTATTATCCCGACAATTTAATATCAATTAGATTAATTCTAATAATTACAATCTCAAATATAATCAATCTAACCTATCATTATATTACAATTACATAAAACAAAATAACTAAAAATAGTGTATACCAGAAATATAAAAACAAAAAAAAACAAAAAACAAATCAACCTACAACGATTAACTTACTATATGATTTGTCAAGAATATTATTAGGTTAAGGACGTATTACAATAACAGGTGTAGACATATAAAAAATAAAAAATAAAAAATACCACCATTGATATAAGTATAATAATTGTCTGAGAACACATTGATCAAAGATATGAAGATTGAAAGAAAAGATTTGTTCAAGTATATTGGATAAAACTAAGGAGTGATGATAAACAATGATCAATTTCTCCCACGTTATCTCAACATTAAATGCATTCGTTGTACACTTTATGTTCTAAAGAAAACAAAAAAAAAATCATATGAAGAAAATAAGAAAAAATAATAATAATAATAATAACAACAACAACAACAACAACAGCAACGAGAACAAGAGTAGGAGTAGTAGGATGAGTAGGAAAGACTGGAGGTGGAGGTGAAAGAGGAGGAGGAGGTAATTTCAATGATCTTGCACATGCACCTCAGCAAAGTCTCGCGGCGTTAAACGTGGCCACGAAGCTGACGCATAAATACCTATAAATATGACACGGCGGGGCCCGCGGTAACGTTGCATATTAAATTACATTCTTAAGCATACCGAACGTGGTGTGGTGCAAGGCCTGCTAAAGGCTTGGTAAAACCCTAGCAAAGAAATGGAGAGAGATAGAGAACAGTACAGGTTGGTGCATCAAGTCAACTCAACGGTGCTGATTAAACTTAGCCAGGGTTTTTAGTTGAACAATGAGACAGAGTACTATACTATGATGGTTGAAACAAAAATGTTATGTTGATGGGGGAATGAGAAAGATGCTAAAGAAGAAAAAGAAATTAACTGATTGTGAGAGAGAAAAGTTTGCAATAGACAACACTATGTTGTGTTCTTATTCATCTTCGTTTTATTCTTTGACCAATCGTACACACACACATACACACACACATGGGAATAGACGGATGAGAGGAAAGAAGAAAGGGGGAATGTGTTGTAGAAGAAAAGATGAGCAGAGAAATGCACCCGGAGGGTCTTGCGATGCTAATTATTCTGGTTCATGCGAGCAATTTGTCGAGTACCCGTATATAGAACGTATATTTAATACCCCCCTACCTAGTAGGCCCTCAACTCACAGATATCCCGCGGGTATTTACATCTGTGGCGAATACCCATGAGACCAGTACGAGACCTAGGGTGGTAATGGTGGTAACTTTGAGAATTATACGTGGATTACAACCAACCATGTTGCTGCCGCCGCCCTTTATGATGGTGTCTGTTTATTCGCAAGTACTCACACAGAATTTCTTCTTGTAAGGGTAGCAATCTACCATTAACCTTTTAGGTACAAATGAATGTTGAGTGGAGATTGGGAGGATTGTTTCAAGAATTATACAATGTGTGACGATGAACAATGCTGTTATTTACGTGAATCATTGAAAACATGTGTTTTTTTGTTGCAATAATATTGCTGGGATAGGATTAAAACAGGCCCCAGTATTTTGAGTCAACTAAAAAAGTATTAGTTGGTTTTCTAGTTTGAAACTAGGAGAACGGTTGTGTTGGTTAAATTAATCGATCGCGTAATGGAAGGATAGATTGCAGTGAAACCGTGAGACTTTGGCGGCTTCTTACATTCTCTTCTCTCTCCTTCATTAAAAAGGATTGAAATAGAGATAGAAATAGAGAAGGTGATCTATGAAGCTTGTGCAACCAATAAGATATGTTGGTCTATGTATTTACGCGCTTTCAAGGCGGCATTTACACTTGAACCTTGAAATAGGTAGCCTCGAGTCACGTTTCTCGTTGCGAAGTTTATATCGTTGCTACAGTTAAAACGGGGCAATTGGTGTCGTGCGTGAGAAATGTGCTATACCTACGTCACACACATACACACACACACACACACATATTCGCAAAATGATTTATCACAATGTAATAGACTTAACGAAGCTTCATATTATCTTGGATTTTATATTCTTATTATTTTTGTTAACAAAAACTATCGGTACCTGACATAATCCTTAAAAAAAAACAAAAAAAAAAGGTTTAACAAGAAACTGGTATGGTTGTGTTTGTTTTTTTGTTTTTTTATTATTCCCCACTGTATCATAATCTATCGGCATTTATACCAACATTTATTTAACGTTTGAGAAAATGAAGTTTACCACGAGGATTTATGCAAACTGTGAAAAGAATGAAAGAAAAAAAAAACAAACAAACAAAAAGATTTTAACATACCACGAAACGAAAAAGGAAGAAGAGTTGCGAAAAAAGGGGGACGAGGAGGATGAGGGTGGGGGGAGGGGAGAGGTTGTAAGGAAATTTCTCTTTACCACGGTAAAGTTAAAGCGCCCGTGAAAATTCCCTAGCACGGCTTACTTCTAGTTGTAAATCATCGCGTTATGCATAGAATGATGATGGTTGAGCAAAAGGCTTCACTTCCGCTAAAGAAAACGACGTTCGATCATTCTTCTTCTTCTTCTACTTCTTCCTTCTTCCTTCTTCTTCTTCTTCTTTTTCTTTTTTCTTCTTCGTTTTCCAGCACCCACTATCAAACATTCTAGCGATGGCTTTAAGTTACTCTCGAACAAAACAATATATATATTTCTTTTGTTTCCTTTGTCGTTTTTAATGTAACTGACTGTCTCCGTAATCAGTTAATTCGTACATTCATTCTTCACTTGGTACGATATGATAAATTAATTGAATATTTAGTTTGATGATTAATTACTTACCAGGGTATCCTTCAGGTATGACGATTTCTGGTCCAACTTTGACATCGTGACGATAACGATGCATCAGCAATGTTGCCGTAACTCTAAGTGATCTTTGTTGTTGTTTGTAAAGTAAAATAGGACGACCACCTGCACCTTCAACTCTGACAACTCTCGGTAATGAAAATCTGTCGAGGAAATCTCGCAATGGTATGAAACCAGCCGTAGAACCGGCAACTTCGGCGGTTGCTTCACGCGAACTTGGCAAGGAATCGTCACCTGTACCGGTTGCCTCACCGCTTGACAATGTTGAAAATTCGCCACTTGATGACATCTTTTTGGTTTTTCTAACTTGTTTTTTTTTTTTTTTATAACTTGATCACTATCCTTTTCCTAAAAACAAAACATTTTTTTCAATGTTAAATATTAAAAAGATTTTACACGTTTTATTATTTTATTGCACATGTGTTAGTTTGATTTATTGCAATTGAATGTCCACCGTGTAATGTGAATATTGAATTTATTTAAGGGTTTCTATAGAAAACAAATGGGGTTAAATAGTGTCATCAACTCATTTTAAATTGATTTATTGATCGAATAAATAAAAGTAAGTAAAAATAATAAAGTAAAGTAAATTATAGTATAATAAATGATATTACAAAAATATGAGAGAATGAGAGAGAGAGAGAGAGAGAGAGAGAGAGAGAGAGAGTGAGAGTGAGAAGGAAATAGATGCAGTTTGGTTACGAGCCATCGTTCAAGAACACCCCCGCACTTTTTCACGTCTTATGGAATTCGTCGTTCTACGAAGCGTAACAACAACCTTGACAGTGATTCGCCAGAGGCATAAAAGCATACAAGTTAACGAGTGATCATGCTTCGTCTTTTGCTTGACGACGATTGCCACCATCATGATGATGATGATGATGATGATGATGATGATGATAAAAGTGATAATGACGAGGAAAGATGATAGTGATGATGATGATGAATTTATGATGATGATGATTATTATTACCACTGAACTACGCACATATCGTTTTGCCTTATGGCTTCTCTTTAAAAATATCTTCGTTGCATTTATTTTTTATTAAAAAAAAAATAATAAAAGTTATAAATAGGAAAATGTGTTAAATGTGATACAAATGATATTAAAATATATAAATGATTTATTAATATTGTTATTATTATTATTATTATTATTATTATTATTATTATTATTATTATTATTATTAAATAATTTGAGAAATATATTTGGTATATGTACTATATATAGTACATATAATAGTATATATTAATTTTTGTTAATTATTTATAAATTTATATTTTATATATATATAAATATATATTTCTAGATATATAATAAAATATAATAAATATATTTTTATTCAATTATTAGAATTATAAATTTAATTTATTAATTCTAAAATATTATTATATATTTATAAATTTATTTCTATATATATATATATATATAATAAAATATAATAAGTATAACAAATATATTTCTAAAATAATAAAATTTTAATATATAATACAAATTTATAATTAAATCACCAAGTATATCATTTAGTTTATAACACATATTTATTATACCAATTGAAAACGTTTATTAACCACACCATCAATATTTACAAGAATTCCTACTCATTTCTCTCTCTTTCTCTCTTTCTCTCTCTCTCTCTCTCTCTCTTTACCTCGTTCAAAGTACAGAATATTGATGATTAATAAATAACCAACACTAGAAAAAAAAAAATTCGCATAAGTATTCCGAAGAGTCAAGTATAGTTGCTATAACCGGACAATAAGTAGATGGTTTCTTCTATGTTAGATTTATTTCCGTGTTATTATAGGCCGATTCTGTTCGTCCAGATATAATCCAAGAGTTTTGCGGGATATATTATTTACATATTCTCACACAAACGTTTCAGTATACATAATGTGTAACTCTTCTAACCAACACACATACCCATACATACACATATACATGCACTTATATATATATATATATATACACTTTTTTTCTCTTTCAATGCACATGCACATCTTACTCTGTTTCTTTTTCTCTCTTTATCATTTTTATTTTATTTTATTTATTTATTTCATAGTTACTAACACCTGTAACATTTCCCGAACGAACGAAAGGTACGTGTGTTCATGGCAAAATGACGTACATTGCATACGAATGACGAGAATTAATATTCCACATATGTAAGATATGATGCGTGGAGACTCCTCTTTTTATCTACGGTCCTGGTCATGAATACACATGAGTTAGAAAAAGAAAGATATATGAATAAATAGAAAAAGATATAATGTCTGTGTGTGTGTGTGTGTGACAGCAGAGAGAGAGAGAGAGAGAGAGAAGAACAATTTTCGTTCTTTATTCGTTCGTTTTTCTTTCACTCTGCTTTCCTCACCCCCCTCTCCTATTTCTTTTAACTCTCACGTGACAAAATGAACATAACCTATTATTCCCAAGAAGTAAGGCTGCTTGCTACTCATCCTACTCGCGTTCAAGGTGATAAAATGTTTTAAATGGTGAACACACTAGTTCACGTTAGACGTTAATTTCCATGTAATTGAGATTTAATTACATCATAAAAGTACACACCCTAACATTAACTTTTGGCGCGAACTTTTGACTCCAACTTTTGGCGCGAACTTTTCTTTATCTTCTCCACACCACTCTCTCGTTTTTTTTTTTTTTTTAAATATTTTTTTGTGTCTCCTTTTTCTTTTCTCATTTTCCAATAGAATTTTTCTTATTTTTTGTTTTGCAACTGTATAAAAATTAATTGTTTGTTTGATTTAACATAAAACAAATTAATTTATAAAAATGAATATAAAGCTTTCCTTCGTTTATATTTGTTTTGTTTTTAAAGAAACAAATTATACATTGTATGATATCAGACCGGTTAATTAAACAATTGTGTAAAGTTTATAAGAAAAAAAAAAAAAAATATGGTTGTGTCCTGTCAACTTATTAGGTGTATCCTCTTGTTAGTTATTATCGAAGAGAACCTCGACATTCATTGAATTCCACGACTTTCGTCCTTTCTCCAATCACGGTGAACGTTGCTGTTACTCTGAGTTAAATCGAGGTTCTATCGTTGAGAATGAGAGTGGAATTGAACGAGTAGTTTGTTCTTAATTTATCTTTATTTTTTAACCGTTCAAAAAACAAATCTATCTTTCATGTCGTGCATCAAACAAACTACGATTATTTTATATATATATTTTTGTTTGTTTGTTTGATTGTACATATAATTTATCGAAGAAATAATTTATTTAAAATTCATTATCAATTCTATGCGATAATTATATTTAATATTTATAATTAGCTTAATTAGTATATTTTATGTGAAGGTTAATAATTATATTATTTGATTTTTATTTGTATAAAACAATTTAAAAAAATAGTCACGGTATGTAATTTTCCTATTAGATCGTAATAGCAAACGAGTTAAATAAAAATATCAAGAACGAGAAATTGATTAGATAACGATATCTATTTTTTTTTTTTTATAAAATAAAAACACCAAACAAAACAAAACAAAACTATGAAAGATAGTTTCAGTGTAAATTTGTTGTATCGATAGAAATCAAAAATGAAGGAAAACGAAAACGAACACGAAAATGAAAACGAATTGATAAATGAAATCGTGAAATACGTCATCATATATTTCACAAAAATTCAAACGATAAAATATAATAGTAAATAAACAAATTAAATAAATAAATAAATAAGAAAACCAATGATTAGAAGTGAAAGTAATTTACACTGACGTGAGAAGAAAAAAGAATGAAATAAATCGCAAATAAAATAGAATTAAATAAAGAGAGAGAGAGTGAGAGAAGAGACGTTATATTCTTTAGTTTGAATTTCGTAGATGGCGCTAGTTATATGTATCGAGCAAAAGTGAAAGTTCAGATTTAGCAATTTACTTGAGGGGAGTCGAGCAATCGCGTTAATCTTGGATATACGCTTAATGTTTTTCCGTGCAACATAATTTTACACGTTCCGCCGCGCCTGCCTACCTGCCTACCTGCCTACCTGCCTACCTTTTACATAAATCCTGATTTACGAATTAAAATAGAGTACGAAATGTTAAAGAACAAATTTAATAATAAGAAGCTA